GGGACCCGCAGAACTGCCTGTTGTCCATTACGAAAGCCGCATTCTCTTCCAGCCTCCTGGAAGACTCCCAGCAGGGTGAGAGGTTGGGCCAAACCATCCCTGACTTCTTTTCCCGGCCTTGCTGGAACAAGCACTTCTGGATGGGCAGTAGAGATGTGAGGTAAGAGCTTCATTAAGGTATAGGCATTGTCCTCTGGGTCAAGTTCACTGACTGCTGCTGTGGTCAACTGAGCTCAACCAGTCCAGAATGATAGCCCATCAAATGGTCCTCTCGGACACGGTTGTACAATTAAATGAGATGGCATATGTGATGTGCTCAGCACAGCATCTGGCATGTGGCTAACAATTAGTAAACAGAAGCAATTATGAACATCACACCAGCCACACTGTGTGCAACCACTGCCACCCATCAAGGGTATATTGAGCACCAGGTAACACTGGGCATTGCTACCAATGTGACAGAAATTGCCACTTGCCTGTCCAGCTTTTCCTGACTTCTTCAGTGTGCCATTATTAATTAAGTTACCTATGTCCTCTAAAAGCTAGGGAACTGATTTCCATATCATATATTAAGTGTCCCTAATTATTCTCCCTTCCTCTATTGGGTTTGGTGCTTTGGAAAATCTTTTAAAGGTTTGATCTCTCGATTTTACCTCTCACGAGCACTCTTTTCCAACCCTACATGTGGCCCCCGGCTGTTCTTCCATTTGCTGGCCTGGAAGGTTGTCAGAGGCCCTCTGCTGGTTATTTCACTAATTTCCATCACGTGTTGGAAGTGAACCTGGCCAAAGACCTGCGTGCTGTCGTTTCTCTAAGCAGTCATATAGCCAGCATACATTTTCCGGGATGAGGCTGTTCATCATGGTCCTAACTACCAGCAAGAAGCATGTTATGCAGGCCTGCACTGTGTACTGGAGATGTGGTCTTACCATTTATCCCCTTGACAATCCTGATCTGTGCCCCACACAGTTTGTGCTGGGCTCTGGGGGTATTCTGTCTCACCTGTCTCAGGAGTACAGTGAGGCAGGGCAGAGAAGTAGGGGCAACCTCCCCTCATCATTTTCCTCTGTGGATGTAATGGCTCTGCCCTGGACTCCCAAAGGCTGCTGGACCCTGCAGGTAGGGCTTATTATGTGATAAATTATCTCAGCCAGGGGCCAAGGAGTCTTTGGAGAAAATAGAGGCAAAATGGAACCAGCATGTGCTCCTTTTTGCAGTCTAAATAGGTAGCACAGTGGCAGCTTCAGCCAGGAGTATGGCTGAGTTCAGCTGAGATGGCGTGATTGGACTACAGGTGAGTCCAGACAGGCTGCCCAGTGCAGGTGCTGCATGAAAGAGCCTTGAACCTTGACAGGCAGGGTATAGTGCTCTTCGTGTCCCTGTGCTCACGCTGGAGGATGGGGGTTCATGTTTTGCTGGAAGGTGCTTCCTGCTGGATTGGTGGCCCCCAGGTAATGTCTAGAACCAAAGTGGTTTGAGGTCAAAGCAAGGGCAGAGGCTCTGGGTTTACTCCCAAACTGATACAAAGTTGCAAGAAAGCTGGATTTCAGAAGAAAATGCAAAATATAAAATTATTTGTAAGTGTCTTATATATTTCTCACAATTATAAAAAGAGAGAATGAACTTATTGAAACTTTATATAAGAATTCTAAGCAATAGCCCCCAAGGAACTCTTGCCTAGCCAGCCATTTAATGCTGCAATTCACCATTTATATGAGTTAGATCCTTTGCATATGTGACAAGGGAATGTCCAGGATCACAACACAGTGACAAGTAGACAAGTGCAAAAAATGTTTTGTGGCATTTGCCTGATCTCCGACATTAATAAGATCTTGGTCAATATTTCTCTGAGAGTTCACAGAAAAATTAAATATCTTGGCCAAAGTTGTGTATTGCTGGCTCTTCCAAAATTATTAACAGAGTGTTCTTGAAGTTTTGGTTGCATATGATTTCTTGTCAGCAGTGCAGGAAGGTCACAAAATCCTTTATTCATTTTCCCCAATTTCAGGAATATCTTGGCACCACCAGCAGCAGGTCCAGCTTCTGACAGCTACAGCACACACCTGCATCTTAAGGATGGCCAGTTGAGTCAAAGCTGAGGGCATATCTTATAAACAGAATTATTAATAGCTTGCTTCAAATTTTTTTCATTTGGCAAGCATGAGCACAAAATGCATGGAAGGTGTGCACAGATGATGCTTCTAGTTCCTAGAAAAGATGTGGCTTCATAACCTAACAGACTAAAGACATTCCCACGTCTTTTAGAAATTGGTTGCCAAACACGTGCTTGAAACAGTGTCTACAAATATACATGCTCATTGTCTAAAATTAGCCCAGTTTCTCAGTCTATCTGAACCCAGGTTGTAAAATGGAGGCAATAATGCCTTGTGGCCAAAAAGCCATCCATGACTGGCCAGCTGTGCAGCCTCTGAGTCAGGCCAGATGCCTGGCAAGTCAGGAGACCAGTGAGCACAAGACCGCCTGAGCTGCACTCACTCTCCATGCAGCCAAGGCTTTCTCCACTGCAGGTGGAATTCTGGAACCTCAAAAGTATAATAGTCAAAGATGTGCTGATAAATCAACGAAGTGGGAAGCCAAACAAAGAACGTTCCTGAGACTGATGGACCAACGATGCCCTAAGACTCATAAAATAGCTACCAAGGAGGCTGATGGGTGGAGCCCAAGAGACCAGTTTGAAGAGCCACATCAGCAACACTATCCACACAATGCGCGTCATTCATTGGATGGACCATTGTATGGTCATTCATTGTACGGCAAAAGAGGGATCCCAAAGTTCAAGACCCCCGGCTTGCCGGGCTTCCTTCTTTCTTTCCTTCATTCTCTTCTCTTGCACTGCACTTTCCTGATTTTCTTTCTTGGTCTTTCTTTGTTCCTGGATCCATTTTCCCTTGTTGTCCTCTGAGTGTCTGAGTGATCCTCAGTCTGCTTCTCTATCCACACTCACTCCCAAGGTGACCTCATGTCCAGTCCAGTGGCTGTACAAATGTACAACACCCAGTGACACCCAAATTTATGTCCCTAGCACTCCCTTCTCTCTCAACTCCAAACTGGTATATTCAATTTAATTTCACTTAAAGGACAAATTTAAAATATTAATTAATAAAATACCAAAACAACCACAAAATCTTATCTGATGAATCAGAAAAAGTATCTCATATATCATGCATATGTCTGAATTATGTGGCTGTGCATTTTATAATCTGAGCACTGGAGGAAAGGCCTGCATGATTTTTTAAAGTGTGTCATACATAGTGTCAGTCAATTCTGCTTAATGCTGTATTTCTGTATCTATAGAGTACCCTGTTTTGAATAGGTTGTGTTTCAAAACTCTTCGGGTAAATTAATATTCTGAGTCTTATCACAATTTTTAAGAAGTATGGCTAGGACATAAGGTGTTGAGCTTTTCTTCCTTTTCCTGGCTACTGATGTCAGCTCAGTTCAAGGTCCCAAGGCCTTCATGAGTTCATTCCAAAACCACAAATTCCTGGCCTCCTGTCTGTACCCACCTCAGTCATACCTGTAAACCTGCACACTGACCTGTCTAGAGCAGCTCCCATCATGACTGCTCAGAAATTGTAGTAGTCCCTTCGGTCCATGGAACTAAACAGAATTATGGACCATCAGAGGGGCAGGGACCCATAGAAAGGCCTATTGTGAGAATATCAACTATACTTAACATCTAAATATTATCTTGTTTAGTATAATTTTAGTGATCATTTATTTTCCTTTCTTTTTTAGGCCCAAACAGCTGAAAATAATAAGCCTCTTTTCTCTGGAAAGAGAATCAAGTCCTATTTTTTGCAATATAAACAGTGGTTAACTTACATTTAAAAAAAATCTCAGAATGGCTCCTGGTCCTCTAGAAAATAATCTATTTACATTTCATAATGTAGAATTAATTCAGTTTCTGCTTTAAACACTCATTTGTTGGAAAAAATATGTAATTGCAGCACTGAAAGAGTTGTAAACAAATGAATACCCAGACTTAAAACAATTTTGGCAATTGTTAAACTGTTTAAATTTAACAATTTTAAGTATCTGTCCACGGTAGATCACGGTAGACCACAATAGATCACAGTAGACCACAGTAGACCACTGTGGACAGATATTTAAATCCCAAACCTAAATATCAAGAGACAGGAACTGGGAAGCAGAGATTACCTTAGGTGTAAAATCTCACTTTCAAATGTCCTTAGCATCCTAGGGATCTATGTCCTCTGGGGCATGCAAAGACATTCTGTCCACACCACAAATGAGACAAATTCATCAGACCCTTCACTAAGATTCTGAAAGCTTTGGAAGAAAGAAGATTCCTTTTTTTTTCTTTTTTTTTGAGATGGAGTCATGCTCTGTTGCCTAGACTGGAGTGCAGTGGTGCAATCTCAGCTCACTGCAATCTCTGCCTCTCAGGTTCAAGTGATTCTCCCGTGTCAGCTTCCTGAGTAGCTGAGATCACAGGTGCCACCACCACGCCGGCTAAATTTTGTATTTTTAGCAGAGATGGTGTTTTACCATGTTGGCCAGGCTGGCCTCAAACTCTTGATCTCAGGTGATCCATCTGCCTCAGCCTCCCAAAGTGCTGGGATTTCAGGCATGAGCCACTGAGCAAGGCCCATATTTTATCTGAAATTGAATTGTAAGGTTGATATAAAACCAAGGATGTTCCAGGAGCCAAACTTAGAATGGGAATGGATCAATTTCTGATTTCAAGTTTCGATCTTGGAAGAAACTTACCTGAACATTATTAAAAATTATCTACATGATACAAATTATCCCAAAGTGTTTTTATTCTGAAGTGTCCAGTTCCAATTTATATCATGTCAGATATGTGTAAAATTCATTACTGTTATGTGTTTGAACACATAATATTCGAACGCAGCTTATTCTTGCTTTTAGAACTTGACACCTACTTTTCAAGTCCTCTCTTTGATCTGAGAACTCAGAAGAAATTGGAAACTTGAAATCTTGACACTCCTTACCTGATGTTGGCTCAATAGCAAAGGCTTGATGAGAGTGAATCAAAGTGATATGGAACTCAAAATCTATAGGACAGCTGCACTGCAAAGGAATAACATAAGTTTTGCTGCAAAACAAACAAAAAAGAAAACAAAAATATTATTTTTCTTTATAACTAGTTCTTTTGGTAGCAAGGAATGGGCACTCAAGTTATGTAATAAACAATGATGATGACTGCCAGTGCTGATCTAGCACTTCCCGTGTGCCAGGAGTAATCCCATGCATTTCCCATGTATTAACTATTTTAATCCTACGAGGTGGTGCTGTGATTATCCCCACTTACAAAGGAGGAAACTGAGGCCCAAGAGAGGGTAGGTGTTCCACATCAGGTGACGTAGTTAGTTAGTGGCAGACCCGGGATGTGATGCAGTCGATTGTGCTGGGTGTCCATACTTCTCACACCACTGTCCTTTCTACCTCTCAAGTACTGTTAGGTTTATTTTCCAGAATTGCCATGATAGGGAAAAGACAATCTGTACCACACAGCTTGGCCTCACCAAACCAAGAAAAGGCCAAAGAAATGGGCTTATAGAAAGCCTGGGAGACCCCTGGCCTTTCATAGAGCCTGCAAGGGATGGTGTGGAAGAAGCCACACTTTGGGCTGTGCTTGATGGAAAGAGGATAGGTACTCTTCATTTGGTCAGAAGTCCAGCAACTATTAGAGAACATGGAGGAGGTCTGTGTACTCAGAAATGGTCTGTCACCACAAGACAAGGCGAACTTCGTCACTTACAGCACCACAGAAGCTGTGGCAGTGGTGGCATTTCTTGGAGTGCTCCATGCTTCCCATAATGTCCCCTCCTCCTGTCAGGGCAACCCAAGTCAGCCAGAGCCGACTGCTGAGGGAAGCAGAGCTCTCCAGGGTAATTCTGCATCCTATGCAGTGCTGGGGCAGATTATCGGGTCCCCTTGCAGCAGTAGGAAGTCAAGCGCCTCCTTTCAAGCGACCCAGCCACTCCCTGCATTCCTGATTTTTTTTTTTGCAACCCTTCCCTTCTCCTTCAGCCACCAGCCAGCTTCATCTTCAACTTGGATCATCTTTTCTCTACTCCATACCTTCTGAGCCCTCACCCCATCACAGCCCTCCTGCTGTGAGGCTGGCCCTGCCTCTTATCCTTTTAGCTGCTGGTCTCCTGGCCAACTGCCCATCTCCTCTCATTTCCCAGTTCATATTCCCAGGAGAACACAGTTGCAATCTGGTTTGAGCAGAGCTGCCAGGCCAGCTGGGCGCTACCTTCTGGGCAGGACCCATCTAAACCCATCTATCTGCGGACTTCTCCAGTAAGGACAGGCTTCCCTACCTGCCCAGTGTCTGTCTTCCCTGGAGATTCAGAGTCCTGTGAAGGCAGAGACCAAGTCCATTTGGGTTTCTAGTATATCCCAGAGCATCGCACAGATTTATTGAGCATCGCACTCAATAAATATTTGTTGGTGTGAAGTGAAATAACCCTTTTTTCAGTAGCAATTTTGAAGATATGATATAGCTCAGATGTGGCTTTTAAAGTTATGCCCCAAACATTTCATTTGGATTTAAACTTCATTATCTTTAAAATATCTCAAATATTTCAAATATAAAGGAAAATGTAAAGAACAATGACATAAAGATCGCTTTATCTACTTCCGAGCCCTAACTAATCTTTTGCTTTGGGTATATCAGCATTATGTTTTTAAAGAAATAAAACATTACAAAAGAGTTGACGCTCCCTGTAGCTCCTTCCCCAATTCTCTCCCTCTTCTTCCTTGCTTTTAGGTAGTTTTATCAATCTTTATTTTGGAAAAAATTAAAATCTCTTCCAAACTATGAACATGGCATGTCTCTAATTTATTCAGGTTTAATTTTATGTCCTCAATCAAATTTTGTAAGTGTCCCCTAGCCTGTATTCACTGTTCTACCACTCTCATGCATTCTAGTAATATTGCTACTTATATTTGTATGCATAAAATATGTGGTATGCATAAAATATGTAGTATATTGTTTGTTTTTAACAATATTGGTCTGAAACGTGCTATTTTTGCTCAACAGTATGTTTTTGAGATTTGTCCATGGAAATATGTAAAGGCCTGTTCATTCATTTTAACTAGTGAAGAGAATTCCATTATATAATTACACCACACTTTGTTCACCCACTCTCCTGTGGATGGGCATTTGGGCTGTTTGCATTTTTTCACTATTGCGGTGTTGCAGTGAAGATCCTATGGCATGGCTCCATGTCCACCTGCAGCAGAATTACTTTAGGTATAACCCCAAATGGGATTTCTGGTTAGTAGCAAAGTAAAAATATTAAATGTAGTAGATATGACTAAAATATTTTTCAAAGCCCTTTAACAATTTATGCTTCTACTAGCAGAATAGGAGAGATTCTGTTGCTTGCCAACATTTAGGATTCTCGGGCATTTTAACTTCTGTCAACCGATGGAGGTGAAATGGCATCTCATTTCACTATCATTCTCATTTTTTTGAGATGTAGCTTCTGTTAATGTGCATCATTTGGGTTCTTTCTCCTGTGAATTGCCTGTGCATATCCTTTGGCCATTTCTCTATTCAGTTGTTTTGTTCTCTTACTCATTTGTAAATTCTTTTTTTTTTTTGAGACAGAGTCTCACTTTGTCACCCAGTCTGGAGTGCAGTGGCATGATCATAGCTTACTACATCCTTGATGTTCCGGGCTCAAGTGATCCTTCCATCTCAGTCACCTGAGTAGCTGGGACCACACGTGTATGCTACCATGCCTAGCTAACTTTTAAATTTTTTGTGGAGATGAGGTTCTACTATGTTGCCCAGGCTTGTCTTGAACTCCTGGCTCAAGTGCTCCTCTTGCCTTGGCCTCCCAAAGTGCTGGGATTTTATGTGTGAGCCACCATGCCTGGCCTCATTTGTAAATTCTAATATTAATTTTGTTAATTATATGCATTGCAAGTATCTTTTCCAAGCCATAGTTTACTTTTTGATTTATTTATGGTGTTTTTTGTTGAACATAAAATTTTAATTTTAAGGTTGTCAGTTTTATCAATCTTTGTTTTGGAGAAAATTGAAATCTGTTCTAAACTATGAACACAGCATATCTCTAATTTATAAGGTTTAATTTTTTTTTTTTAGATGGAGTCTTGCTCTGTTGCCCAGGCTGGAGTGCAGTGGCGCAATCTTGGCTCACTGCAACCTCCATCTCCCAGGTTCAAGCAATTCTCCTGCCTCAGCCTCTCGAGTAGCTGGGACTACAGGTGCGTGACACCATGCTCGGCTAATATTTTTGTATTTTTAGTAGAGACAGGGTTTCACTGTATTAGCCAGAATGGTCTCTATCTCCTGTGATCTGCCTGCTTTGGCCTCCCAAAGTGCTGGGATTACAGGCGTGAGCCACTGTACCCAGTCAAGGTTTAATTTTATGTCCTCAATCAAGTTTTATAAGTGTCTCCATAGTGAGCTTATACATTTTGGTTAAGTATTTCCCTAAGTGTTTTGGTATGTTTGGGTTGTTATCATAGAATACCATAAACTGGGTGGCTTCTGAACAACAGAAATTTATTCCTCACAGTTCTGGAGGTTGGAAAGTCTAAGATCAAGGTGCTGTCAGATTTGGTTTCCGGTGCAGACCCACTTCCTGGTTCACAGATGACCCTCTTTTCCCTGTGTCTTCATATGATGGAAGGGGCCACGGAGCCCTTTCATAAGGACACTAATCCTGTTCATGAGGGCTTTGCCCTCAAGGCCTAATCATCTCCCAAAGGCCCCATCTCCTAATATATCACCTTGGGGGTTAGATTTAAACACATACATTTTGAGGGGGAAACAAACATTCAGACCATAGCACCAGGTATCTAATAGCTTCTGTCTCATAATGAATGGAATGTTTTTTTTTTATAATTCATTATTATTAGTGTATTGCAATGCTACTTTTGGATTTTTATCTAAAACCCTGCTAAAGTCTTTTATGGGTTGTAAAAGTTTACATGTAGATTTCCTTAGATTTTCTGTGTAGAAAATTACACAGTCTAGCCCAGGCATGGTGGCTTGCTATAATCCCAGTGTAAGCTATATAATCTAAAAAAAAAAAAAAAAAAAAAAAGAGAATCTTTGCTATTTACTTTTCCAACTCTTATAACTCTCATATATTTTTCTAATCATTGCACTGGTGACTTCTAGTATAATACTGAATGGAAGTGAAGAGGGCATCCTTTTGTTAGTTTGACTTTATTGGAAATACTTTAATTTTTATTACTAAGAATGATGTTTCTAGAAAGTTTGTGATATGCCTTATAAGTTCAAGGGAATTTTTTTTCTACTTTTAAGCTTTTATTCCATTGAATCATGAATGAGTTTTCTTTTTCTTAAAGTTTGCTTGGTATACGTACCTCTTCCATTCTTTCATTTTCAAATTTCCTGAAAAGTTTTATTTTAGATGTGTTTCCAGAAAGCAGCATATAACTGGATTAAAATATATTTAGCAGGTGGGATAATGTTTTCCTTTTAATAGGTGAGTTTAATCTGTTTTCATTTGTTACAATTAATCATAGATATATTTGAACGTATTTCTACCATCTTGTTTTGTGTTTTCTAACACAAAAATAATGTTTTCTAAAAAACATCTTTGGTTTATTTTTGTTCTTTTGCCTCTTCCTGGACTGATTGCTTTTATGTTTCTACTTTTTTTCCTCCTATAACTTGGCAGCTATAGATCGCATTTCTATAATTTTAGTTATTACTCTAAATTTTTGAAAGATATGTCTTATTGACAGCTGGGTGCTGTGGCTCACGCCTGTAATCCCAGCACTTTGGGATGCCAAGGCCAGTGGACCACTTGAGCTCAGGAATTCAAGACCAGCCTGGCCAATGTAGCAAAACCCCATCTCTACAAAAAATGCAAAAATTAGCTGGGCACAGTTGCATGCACCTGTAGTCCTTGCTGCTGGGGAGGCTGAGATGGGCGGATGGCTGGAACCCAGGAACCCAGGACGTGGAGGTTCCAGTGAGCCGAAATTGCACCACTGCACTCCAGCCTGCACTCCAGAGCACAGCCTTGTCTCAAAACAAACAAACAAACAAACAAACAAACAAACAAACAAACAAAA